GCGGAAAATTGCATATGAACGATATGCAGTTGTGCGATGGCACACGCGATCTCATTTTGATCAATCAGTCAAGGCTTTCTCAAATCAAATACAAGTAATTGATCCAGATTCGCAAAAAATTTCGCTAAACTTATGCGCAGATTTGAACTTTTATTTCCAAAAAATACGAAAGATAGCAAGAATGTCTGAACAAACAGTCTGGATATCTAAAGTTAGTGATGTTACTGAGATGCTCCCACACTGGCGTCAACTTCTTGTAAGTCACCTGAATGGTCGTTTGCTTCCTCGCAAGTACCATTCACTGACAAGCAACGTTTGCTACGGCTAGGCCATTTGTTATATTTTTAAGATTTTCATAATTGGATTTCCTACAATTTGCCTTAACATCAATTAGAATGAGCTTACTTAAGGCCTGCTTGATGATCAGAGATTGCGAAAATAATTGTATTACAGTGAGGAGCTGGAAGAAAAGAAGAAAAATCTGAGTAAGTTAACTGACCAAATAACGGACGAGAAGCGCAAATCTGACGAACTGCTTTGTGAGCTGGTACCACCATCTGTGGCCGAAATACTGCGCATGGGAAAGCCTGTCGAAGCACGTATGATATCTTTTTATACTAACCTAATCATGAAGGCTTTCGATTGGAATTCAGAAACAACAAGCCCTCCACTTCTCCTGCTTTTCCAACTCAGCAAATACACCAAAATGCAGGCGTAGCAAGAGCTGGGTGAGTGCGGGAATTTAGGAAGCAAATATGACTTTTTTTCCCAAAACGTTAAAAAAATCAGCGTTGCTTTTATTTCTAAAAAAATTGCAATAACAGCCCAGGAAGTACAAGTATTTTATTATTCTCATAGCATAGTTGTTCTGTGCAGCTGGCAACTTAATTACTACAGTTGTTGCTTTGACCAACATTGCAGCATTTATTGGTCAGCCTGCTGACGATCCATGAAATTTTCTTCATTTCTTGAAAAAATCACTAGCACAACAGTTTTTCGGGCAGAAGCATGTGTGAATTGTATCACTGTTCTCATATTGCAGTATATAATTATTTTCATCTGTTCTTGATTTTAATTCCTGTTAGGCTTTTTTGATATGCCAGTAAAATGAATATGGTTTTCGCCCTTCGATAATC